TTCAAAAAGTTTTTATCTTGTGCAGAACACCATACTAGGCTATGGTTTTAATACATGATCTTTTAAAGAAAATTTTGCATTACATAGTACATCTGTGTAGGTGTAATAAAAACTCAGAGTTCATAGCGTTATATTATTACCGAGTTTATGTGACTGGTCATCAGTAAAACGCATGTACACACACAGGTAATGGAAGCACAAGAGAAAGTTAAACTTGTAGAGCTGCTCAGAAACTACTAATATCAATTAAAGACAGAAAATATACCTACTGTCTAGATAAATGAACCGACTAAAAATTATATAATAACGATCAACTTTTAGCAACTTTTCTATCATATACAGTAATCAGTATTTATTTTGTCCTGAAAAAAAAAAAAGTATATATGCATAAAATGATACACGGTGTAAAGACAAATACATCATTGTATTATGAAATTCAGTTACATATGTAGCAGTCTTTCCAAGAAAATGTAGTAATTATGTAATTCAAGCTAAATATACAGCAGATTATATGATTATTTACTATACATCATTATTTTTATTTTGTCTTAAACTTGTTTTGGACTAATACAATTCCTCTGCTTTGAATTCCTTTAAAATGCAATTCAATTCAGTTCAAACTCATGAACTGAAATAGCGCAAATTCTGAAAGTTCAGAAAGAGTTACACATGTTACAAAATTTGCAGTGGATTGACTCACTATAATACTACAAACGAATGTAAAATATCAATAGACAGATAAGACATTTAAAATCCACAGACGTAGAGGTGATGGTCAGATGGCTTTTTTGGTGTCTTCTGTTGGCAGGTCTTCGTATGGATTTTCTGTATTGGTGTCTTCAGTCATGTCACTCTCTTCTGAAGCTGCTGAGTCTCCTAAGAGGCTGCTTGATTTCAAGTAATATATGAACAAGAAGAATCCTAGAAAACCATATGCAATTAATAAAAAAATGGATGTGATATTATGCATGTTTTATATTATATTAGAAAATTATTTTGATGTTTGAATGTTTATTAAAGCCTTTTATGTTTACCAAGGCTGCATTTATTTGATCAAAAATGTGAATAATGTGAAATATTATTACAATTTAAAATAACTCTTTACTGTTTTAATAAATAATTGTTTTGTAATTTACTCCTGTGATGCAAGGCTGAATTTTCAGCATCATTACACAAGTCTTCAGTGTCACATGATCCCTCAGAAATCATTCTAATATGCTGATTCAAGAAACATTTCTAATTATTATCAATGTTGAAAATGTTTTCTCAACATAAATCAGGGAGAAAAAAAACAGCATATTACAATGATATGCTGATCGCAGAAATGAATGACATTTTAAGATATATTCAAAATAATTTTTTTTAAATAATATTTTACAAATTCACAATATTACAGTTTAATTGTATTTTTGATCAAATAAATGCAGTCTTGGTGAGCATAAGAGACTTTTTAAAAAAACATAAAAAAATAGTATTTATTCCAAACTTTTGACCGGTAGTTTCAATAGACATTTTACCACAAATATATGGTGAACAGGAATTTTGTTAATTTTGTTTTGCTCTAATATATAGAGCTCTAGTTTAAATAACATATCATAACCGTTATATAAAATCTTTCTTTCTCATTATTTTGAAACCTTTAGTCCACGTCTGTCAGCATTGAGGTCGTCGATACGCTAGTGCATCCCTAAAAGTTGATCAGATGATAAATATATGCATTTAAAACTAGCTGCAGAAGTGCTCTCACCTTGGAAGGAGTTCAGGATGGTGAATATGTAGTACGAGGGCAGACGCAGAGCTCCGAAGCTGAAAAAGGCAAAACTCCAGGTGAGTCCCAGCATACAGCAGAGGCCCAGGATGGTGGTGATGTCCGAAGTGGCGGTTCTTGAGCGCTGCACCTTTTCAACCTTGTTCAACCTGCTCAGCTTCAGCATGGAGAGCCATCGCAGCACAACAACGAAGGTGCTAAAAGTGAAGATGAAGATGAAGCAGTAATAACCGATGTTCACGTAGTAGTGGACATCAGAGTCCAAAATCCAGCACCTGCAGGGGAAAAAAGTGCAGATGGTTAAATTGACAAAATTACATATATACAAATGTATATTCACCCTCACATCCATTTAGTACACAGATTTGAAGAAATTCAGCATTACATCACTTGCTCACCAATGGATCCTCTGCAGTGAATGGGTGCCGTCAGAATGAGAGTCCAAACAGCTGATAAAAACATCACAATAATTCACACCACTCCAGTCCATCAATTAACATATTAATATTATGGATAGAGGACTCATATTTTGGCCAGAAGTGCTGGTTTAAAGTTAAATCCCCTTAAAGGGGTGGTTGACTGGTTTTTTTCTAGGCTTGATTGTGTTTATGGGGTGCAGTCTAACATGTGTTAATGCTTAATTTAAAAAAAAAAAATGATTTTTTTATCCCACATAATTTACCTTTATTCTCTACACCGCTCTGTCCCTTCTCTGATAAACCCTTCTCTGATAAACGCTCCGATGAGTTCCTGCTTTTATGAAGCCTCTCCCTCAGAAATACGCAATGGGCTCAGATTGGTTAGCTGGCCCAGTGTGTTGTGATTGGCTAAACAGCCTCTAGTGCGCGTCTAATCGTCACGCCCCTCTTGTGCTCAGGTTATATTGCAAACAATGGCGTCATCTATATTGCTTATCAATTTGAACCCGAATGAGACGCAGAGGATATTAGTGAAGAGGATCGCGTAGAACCTGTGCAAGCACGGCTCTTACAGGACGTTTTAGAATGGGATGTTTCTTTGTTTGTTGTTGTCTCATTTAGATACGCTGTTATTTGTAAATGCTACTGCTTATGTTTGCTTTTAATATACGGTTTTATCCTGATTAAAGCTTTTATACAGCACGGCAACCGTATGCGCGTCCATGTTTAAAGCTTCTCATAGCTATGTGAAAAATATCTGTATGTCTAAACACATAAAGTGTATAAATGGAACAGTTTATTGGAGCTGTGACGAGCTGATGATCAGGCGAGAGAGAGCGAGTGTAGCGTCTGGACCAATCAAACACACAATATATATTTTGTTAGCTAATTTTGAAACTTGTGAATCCATTAGAATCGTTAGATGACAGAATTTTTTCAAGCACCCCTGGTTTTGACGGCATGGCAACAACTCTTCCTCTTCTCTAAAGCAGCGCAACATGGCCCCGCCCCTTTTGTTGCATGTTCCCGGGGGTGGGGTTTATCAGGGTTTGTGACATCACAAACCCAGGAAGTAGCTCGTTGTTGCCCTACCAGCTGTTTTTGTAGGCTTTAAACTGCCATAATTTTAAAAGACGATATCTCCGTTTGCATTGAACTTGCATCAGTGTCCTAACTTTGCAGATATTGTTTATGCTCAAACAGCAAAAGCACTAACGTTAAAAAATCGCAATCAACCACCCCTTAAATTAAGGATTTGTTTCTTTTGCTTCAAACAATGTTAATTGATGGACTGGAGTGGTGTGAATTATTATGTTTTTATCAGCTGTTTGGACTCTCATTCTGACGGCACCCATTCACTACAGAGGATCCATTGGTCAGCAAGAGATGTAATGCTACATTTCTCCAAATCTGTTCAGATGAACAAACAAATGCATCATTTCCATCCTGGAAAGCCGGAGGGCGAGTAAATTTCCAGCAGTCTATTTATTTTATTGACTATTTTTATGCAGATAAAAAAGAAGAAATAAAAAAATCTGTTGCTTATTTCAAAAGTTTACACATCTAATATTACTTTAATAATGAGTAGAAAAACATACACTCTCAAGTTAATAGACAGTATTTTCCAGACAATATTTTAATAATTTTAAATATTGTTATATTATTAAAGTAAATAGAAAATATAAAATGCAATTATTTAATTTTAAAATGCATTTTAAAAACCTAAATAAAGAACAAAGGATCCAAAGGGGATTTTCACAGTGATGGCATAGAAGAACCATTTCTGATTCCCCAAAAAACCTTTCAGTGAATAGTTTTTTTAGTGTGAAGAATATTTTATCTAAAGAAACTTTTTCCATTATAAAGAACCTTTTGTACATTAAAAAGTTTCTATGGATGTTAAAGGTTCTTCATAAAATGGTTTTCAATTCATAAAATGCAGAGGTGGACAGTAATGAAGAACATTTACTTGATTACTGTACTCAAGTACACTTTTTGAGTATCTGTACTTTACTTGAGTATTATTTTTTCTGGAGACTTATAACTTTAACTTCATTAGGCCTACATTTGAAAGACAAATATCATACTTTTCACTCCTCTACATTTCTATCAAGGTCCTTGAAGTAGAAAGTGGGTGGGTGATTTTTTTCTTCTCTAAAACGTGACTTTTTTTTTCAGACAGTCTGTCAGTAATCACTAATTGTGATTTCCCAGCATTTTCTGAACACTGACCAGTTGCAAATGTGATATTTATTTGCAACAATTCAATTGAAAATGAAAATATTACCTATAAAGCATCTCTATTAAAGTTAAATAATAAAGAAAATATTACCTATAAAGCATCTCCTATTGTGCATCTCCTAACAAAACACAGTAGGTGTATGACTTGTTAAAGCAGTGTTGCTCTTGTAAAGTTATACAGCTACAGTTGTGTTGCTGGTTTTTAATGCAGGTTTGATTTTTTTTTCTTATCAGTCTGTATTTACAGCAATTTCACTGTCAACTCGGTTCATATGTGGATGAATGGCTACACATAGTGCACACACAGCCAGAGCTGTGTGAGATCACCACGCTGCTTTTTGAAACTCACTTGTTTCATTTCTATAGTTTAACAATTCAAAAGCTCTTTATTCCAAAGATACTACAAGCTAGTCAGTGTATTCAGAAATGTAGGCTTAATGTATTGTAAGTTGCTTCAGAAGGTATTGCAAGTATTACATACAACAATAATAAAACAGTGCATTGGAAATTTACATTTGGTACATAAATACTTTGAGTAAAAATCTGTCTTTACAACTTTCACTTGTAATGGAGTAATATTTGACCAGCAGTATCTGTACTTTCACTTAAGTAATGGAATTGTGTACTTTGTCCACCTCTGATAAAATTGTTAAGTGTAGATTTTCATGCATAACATTATATGGCTGCCATTATATTTTAGGAAGGCCATCTCATCATATTTTGGGGTCCACTTACATAGTTACATTGCTTGTGTCCGTTGTTATGGTCTGCTCACCATATTTGCCCAAGACGTAAATGATACTGACAACAAGAGCAGGAGGAGCTGAAACAAATTGTTGACAATGCAATTATAATTTTAGTAAGCAAGAAAGAGCCTTTAAAGTTCTTGGGATTTTTGCCCATTTGATCATCTTTGATTGTCGGAGCACTTAGTGAAGTACTTCAGAATGAATATTTAAGATTGTGAACTCACCCCAGCCAACCACAGAGATCTTGATGATGTAATGTTTGATGGTGACTGAATGTTTGGCTATCTGCAGGCAGAGGTGAAAAGCCTCCACTGCAAACCAGGTGAAACTGGATAGCAAGCAGTAGTGCATGAATCCAGCCATGACCTTGCAGGCAGTGATGTCCTTTGCACGTGCTACGTACTCATTCGACAGGAAGGCCACGTTGAGCAGGAACAGCGCCATGAAGAGATTAATCAGCACGCGGACTGAATCAGTGGCCTTCACTTTCCTAAAATTGATATTTCAATTACAGTTTTTCTCGATTGCTAAAACACTATAACCAGGCTTTTGAACTAAAATTTCAAAACCATAACGCCATTTTTAAAAAAGCACACCCATTTCCTTAAACTATAAACACTATTCCCCTGCTTTGACACATGAGTCAGATTTGGTGAACTGTTATTGCAAAACTCTACACACAAATCCCTACATTTCTCAGTGCGTACACCATGTGGTCATTTAGAAAGCACTAACATTCAATATTGTTCACACAGTTTGAGCTCAATTAGCACACAATTACCCAAGTGGAAACACTAGGAGTCAAAATTTATCACACACCCATCAATGGATAGAAAAAAGGGCCAAAGTCAGCTCATTCAGCTTTGAAAAAATGGATCCAGAGAGATGTGAAGGAAGAGGTTGACACCAGAGCGGAGGAGGAGAAGGAGTAGGGAGTGGAGGAAGAAATGAAGGAAGAAGAAGAGTAGGAAGTGGAGGAGGAGTACGGAGAGGAAGAGGAGAAGTAGAAAGAGGAAGAGGTTTTTGAACATCTTTCTGCCTGCATACTCTCCATTTCTAAACCCTATAGAGGAGGTTTTTTCGGCATAGCAGTGGAAAGTATATGACCGAGAATCTTACATCCGTGCAAGGATATTTTACCCCTGCTGCCTGGCCTGGGCTAATATAGCCTGTGATGTTGATGAGGTTCTTTGGCCTGTCCCAAACCAAAGACGGGATGCTGGGGCAGAATAATTATTTTTGTTGCTTGCTGCATTGTACTGTACTCTATAGTACATTAAATTAAGGAATAAAACATGTGCAAATGCATACATTTGTTGTGCCTTTTGTTGTGTTCATCATATGAAAAGTTTTTTTTTGGGAGGGGGGCACAAGCAACAACTTATTACTGGTTTTTGTAGTATTGTTTTGAATTTATCTCATCAGTGTGTAAGACTGTGTTGTAGTGTGTGTGTGTGTGTGTGTTTGAGGGTTTGTGTGTCATGTCTTAGAGCAAAGTTTGGTTTTTCAGCAAGATTGGGTTGTTTTGAGTGGAGAGCTTCATTTTGACCTGAATATAGGAAGTTAGGGGAATTGAGTTAGAAGTTATGGATTTGTGTTTAGAGTTTCGCAAAAATAAAAGAGGCATAATTTCAAGAAATGTGTTTAAGCAATCGAGAAAAACTAATATTTCGGATCCATCACCTCAAAATCAAAGAGCCAGCCATTGTGAATTAAAAAATGAAGGATTAGCCTTGATAATAAAGTTACTTTAAACTTGAAATCTTGTTTGAAAATAATCAAGATTACAACTAGGGATGCACCGATACCGCCCGATACACTGAGCTCCTGTACTCGTACTCGTACTCGTTAAAATGCCCCGATACCAAACGCCGATACCACACAGCATGTGATAAGTGCCATATTCAGACAAAGAAACACTGACAACAGAACAACAGACAGCAGAATGGAGTTATTAGAGATTAAGGATGTGTATGCAATGAATATAATGTTAAACATTCAGTATTAATGCCTGTATAGCTGATGTGCGCGAGCTGATAAGCAAAGTGGATTGAGCGCGCGGCCTACCAGTAAAACTGATAAAAAATTTTATAAAACCAAAAATTATTCAGACCGAGTTTGGGAAAAAAATCGAAGTTGAGGTTTGCATGAACCTGGATGACAGCATGCCCAGGAGACTACAGGCTGTCATTAAGGCTAAGAGTTGCCCGACTAAGTCTCTCCCTGCTCTCATCCATGCTAGTCTGCATGGATGCGCAGGGAGTTCTTGCCCAGAACAGAACCATACCTCCAATCCAAACTGTATGCTAATTGTCAAGCATCTTTGACGATAGTGGTCCTGACAGAATTACAGTTATGTTGCATCCAAATTACACCCATCAATAAAGGAATATTCTGGGGTTTAGTACAAGTCAAGCTTAATCAGTAGCACCTGTGGCATAATGTTGATTGATTCATTTCCACTTGATTTTTCCACACAATTTTATTGTATGAAAAAAAACTTTTCAATAATTCTAAATGTCTCTTATACCCACCAAGGCTGCATTTATCTGATGAAAATTAATATTTTGAAATATTATTACAATTTAATATAACTGTTTTCTATTTGAATATTTTTTTAAATATAATTTATTCCTGTGATCAAAGCTGAATTTTCAGCATCATTACTCCGGTCTTCAGTGTCATATAATCCTTCAGAAATCATTTTAATATGCTGATTTGAGCCCAAGAAACATTTCTTATTATCAGGGGTGCTGCTACAGTTTCTACAGCAAGAAGCAAGAGCAAGTTGACTCGAGCCCCCCTTGGTAGAAATCGCATTCAGGGGACCGGAATATATATATTAATCAAATAAATAAATAAATATATATATATATATATATATATACATACAGTATATATTCATCAAATAAATTCTTACCTCATGAGGAAGTGCATAAAGAGCCCAATGGACAGGAAAAACAAGGAGAGGCCGCAGCCGATGTAGGTGATGTAGGTGAGAGCGGTGAGGTCATTTTTGGAAATGAAGTGATTTTCATTTGGAGGGATCTGTATTAAAACCATGTTTAGTTACACAGGACAATGGCAACCTTAAAGATTCAGTAACCACATAAAGTCTGTTGTGAAATGATTTTATCAACCACAAATTAATGAACAAAAATCTGAAGGCGCAAAATACACAATTTATATTCTCACTCCAGCTCAATTTCACAAATTCCAGAAGGAAACGGAGAACCTACCATGAGCACAGCGAAGAAAGTCAAGTGTTCACATTTACATGTTATATTTTCTCCTTTTATAAGGGTACTACACCCTTCGGTTGTCCAGTTTGGCTGATGTCCTGAAAAAAAGGAGGGACTGGTTAGTTTTGAGTAGATTTAGAGTGAATTAATGAAATTGACATTATGCTTTGGTCAGCATCATGGGCCGAAAGATTCAAACTCTTAACCTGTTCTCTTAATTTTGCTTAAGTACAAATCCAACACTGAAATTTAGCTCTCTGTGATACGGAAACTGACCATGCATTATTTTATCATGCATCATAAATTTAACAAATTCAAAAAAAAATGTAATAAATAAACACAAGAGCATCACAGACCGTTTCCATCCCATGATCTACAAACAGGAGTTCCCGTCTGGTGCAGAGAAATACTTCAGAATTTCACAAAATAAGATTCAGATGCATTTAGACTACTAGAAATACTTTTCCCCCTCATACATTTGAATACCTGATCTGTTTTGAAGGTCAAGCTGATGGCGTCACTCAGATTGGAAATTTCTGTGCCCATTTCGATTGCATAAACCTCATCATTCAAAACTGTACTGTTCTCTGCATCCTTAAAATAAAAATAAAAGAGGATTGATTAGGTTTGTTTTATTGCTGAGAAATAGAATCGGGCTTCTATATAGAAATATGATGCGACAAATAAAACAAAAATAATAAGATGCAAATAAGGCCTATGTCAGTAAGTAAAACAACTCAGTTTAAGAAAAAGGAGAAAAAAAAAATTAGTTATCTAAATGTTCAGGATATTAAGGATTATCATCCTACTTCATTATTATTTTAAGTCACATTTTTTTATTAATGCAGTTAAGTTTACAATGTCTAATTTGTAAAATCACAAAAAAACTGCTTTCTGTTATAAACATGTCATTGAAAACTTGACTAAGCCTGTTTTTGATATTTCTTTATACCTTTGTCATGTTGGGAAAGCGGAACACACCCAAAAAAGCGTTTCCTGTGGTTTGGTTGAGTGCTTTCTTAGCGGCTTCCTCTGGAATACTGAAAGCACTGGGGTAATTTTTCAGCTCGCCCACATCATCTAAAACCTGTAAACGTATGAGATGTCCATGCTGGGGTACATTTCATGTTTTTAAGAGAAACATTTTTGTCTCTTAAACATCACCACTGTCATGCAAAGTAAAAAAAAAACACATGTGTATGTCTGAAGTCATCTGTCCACTTACTCTGATGTCAGTTTCTGAAGAGTAGATGAAGTAGGACGTCTTGATTTCGGACTCAGTAGAAATTTTCTTTAAAATCCCTTTAACGTTACCCATGGATATAGAGGCAATGGTCAAATTCTCCATCAAAGACAGAATGCTGGAGAGATTTTTCATGGCCTCACTGAACGAGATACAAGATTATTTGTGATAATATCTCTGAGTAAATGGTTCAATTTACAGCCATTGGGACAGCAGGTATGATATAAAGGCCCGGTTTCATAGACAGGGCTTAGCCTAAACCAGGATTAGGCCATAGTTCAATTAGGACATTTAAGTAATTTTTATAAACATGCCTTAGAAAAAAGCATTACTGGTGTGCATCTTAAGACAAAACAAAGGCACTGACATGTTTTAAGATCAGTCAGTGCAAGTTTCTTTCAGTTGAAACAGCTCAGATTTACATTTTAGTCTAGGACTAGGTTAAGCCTTGTCTGTGAAACCGGGGGATAGGGTTAGAAGAGAAAAATCCATTGTGTTACAACTGACAAGCCCAGGTCTCCCCTATTTTTTTAAATCTCAATTGCTATAGTAAAAAAATATACAATTTTAAACTCCATCAAAAATTATTTTCTCTTGTGTATTCATCAAATAGATTAATAAATTCAGCAAGTTATTATGGAAACTTCCTAAATATGGGTTGCAATGTTTGCATGTTAATGTTTGCAATTTTTTAAATTAAACTGATGCCTGTGTAACTAATATTACCACTAAAAATCTTACTAGACTTGAAACACATGTTTGAAAGAATACTTACGCAGCTGCACCAGCATCTGTTTCTGTTTTATTAGCATTAAATTGATCTGACATTCCTTTGGGTAAGGAGACTTCTTTCACCACTTGAAAAGGACTTCCACACTTAAAACAAGTTGCTTTTTTATTATGGATCTCAATGTTGTTAATTTTACTTGCTTCACCTGCATTAATATCTGCGTAAAAACATAAAAATTAAAAAGTAAATCTGGAATAATTAAGAGCAATATTCAGCACTGGGTTTTAATAATACATTTGTTCTGTTCTGAAAGTGAATAAAGCAAAAATAGGCACATTGTACCATATTCTTACCACTACAATTGGAATCATATTTTGCCTCCTGACACGTCTTTGTGGGATTCAGGCAGGTCATGTTACATACTTACACACACAAAACAAAAAAGAACAATATTACAAGATATGCAAATAATACAGCCATAATATTATATATACAAATACTTGATAAGGTTAATGTTAAGATGTGTTAAATCTGTCACTGACTGTGTTACACCAGATTGGTTTACCACTCCACTTACAGGAATAAGAATTCTTTTATACTGATATAATACTAAGTCATTTTTGGAATTATACTCACCATCATTCTCAAAATATTTGATGGTTTCATTGGTCCACTTACAATCTTTAATAAAGAGAACAAAAACATTTTCCTAACTATCAGATATCTGATCTGAAAAAAGCAGAACTCTTGTAAAACAGCAAGTATATAGTGAATAAATTGAAACTGGACATTTTAAAGAAACCTATTGTTGTCATATTTTTCTAAAATCACAGGCTACCAAATGCATAGAAGCAAAACGACAGATCTTTCATTCACCTCCCGTAATCCAGTCTGTCAAAGTGCCATTTCTGCATTTCCCTTCAATTAAACAGACAAATGTGGGTATAGCATATCTGCTTATACTGAGTTTGTATGGTGAGTATCTTGATAAAATCACTCCATAGTCTGCAAAACAACAGGTTAGAAAACAAGGTTACCCTGGGCTAAAAATAAGTAACAAATCACATTCATTTCTAAAGACAATCCACACATTTTCATTATTGATAGTGGCTCTAAGCAGTTCATCCAAAAAAGCCCAAGACACGAAAGAGCCCAAATATGTTCAAACCCACCGCTGCTGTTTGTTGGCAAAGTGTTTTTTGTACAGTTTGTATTTTCTTCGAATGAAAAAACAGTCATGCTGAGTAGTTGTTGTGTAGCGTTTACTGAAAGACAAAAGTTTTTTTTTTTTTAATTTCAAAGTTTTTAAATACGTATTATGTACATGTATACATTTTTTATAATTTTTCTTCAAGGAATGTTTATACACGTAAGTAGAAACTTTCTCTATTTAATGTACTGTTTGGGCTACATTCTGTTTCTCCTCACCTGACGATCCACTAGAACTGCACAGAATAGTGGACTTGTTCCCTGCAACATTATTGCATATACTCATTTAAAAGACAAATGATAAACAATGTGGCCACCAAAAAGTATATACAATAACTACATTTACACACTATACATTTAGTTTTTTAATAAACACATTTAATTCTCATTCACTTTCATGAACATGTCTGATTTGAATCACCTGTTTTCAAGTATCCCATGAAACCATCTCTACCCAGGATTAATATATCCAAATTTCCAGTTTCATTTGAAGTGCTGCCAGGAATAGGACATAAGTAGTTGTGAGTTTTATCACAGGGCTTAGACCAAGGTCCTACAGATATGCAGAAGGGGACCGATAAAATGAGCAGGAGGCCACAAATGTTCCACTTCATTCCTGACGGGTTCTCCAGGTTCCTCAATAACATCTGAAGAGCAAGAAGAAATGTGGAAAACATGAAAAACACCGTGCTTTGCTTTTAAACTCAAAAGCAAATTAGAACAACCGTCAATAACATTTTGGAAAATCCCTAAAAGGATTAAAATTGGTTTTGAATGAAGCATGTTTTCCTGTCATTTTTATGTATAGCTTATGGCATAGCCTATAGAATAACTGCCCACAAGTGTTTACCAGGTAAGACAAAATCATGCGGGGCTTCCAGTTATTTTGTCCAAAAACAGTCTCTTATACTGCTTGATATTGCAAACTGGTATTTCTTATTATATTATTTTAATGTATTGTCATAACTGGTTTGCAAATAGTTTTAGCGTTTACTGCACTTTGTTATTATTCTAGTTATTTGCCTATAGAGGCTAATGTCTAACATATTCACAGATAATAGCTCATCTTCCCCGATGCAAAATACGTTTTTTTGGTTGTTCTATACTTTGTTGATACGAGTTTATGCAAGTTGTTTTGGCATGAATAAAGACAAAAAATTAAAATAAGGTGGATATGTGAGGAAAATAAAGGTGAAAGTAATTTAAAATAACTGATGCAACTTTTATAATAATACTATAATAAGTATGTCTATTGAGATGTTTTTGGGAAAAAAAAAACTACTTTTTAGACTGTGAATGAACCACATGCCCACCAGTGATTTCTACATTTTGATGGAACTTTTATTTCTTTTTTTGGTCCAAGTGATACAAAGAGAAGTGTGAAATGTTCTGGTGCTGTTGATCTAAATATCAGCACTCTTGAAAAGCTGCTCTGCCATTTAGACTAAATGTTTTTATCCTATAATAAGAGCAAAAATCCAAACTAAAACACTGACACTGTGTTATGTAACATTGAGTCAAAGGCCATAAACCTGTGATAAAATATACAAATGAACTCAGTTCCAATCCAGTGAGGTACATTTACATTTCTTCTCGTAAGTCTGCTCATATGTAAATATGTGTAATGTGAAATGGCTTATTCAGGACAGTACTAAATAAAAAAAATGATACGCAATTTTCATGATCCCTCTTATTTTGTTACAATTATTAACATTTTGCATATTTTGCAAGGGGTCTGTAAACTTATGTGCAGAACTGTAAATTTAGCTGGTACTGTTATCAAAACTGATTTAAAAAAATGATGAAAAAGCACACAATTTATCGAAAGCAGTGCCACAATACAAAATCTCAAGACTAAACCAGAGTAGAACAAAAGTGTACAAGTCATTAACTAAATCACAATTATTTACGTTTATACTCTTACAAAATAATTCCATTAAGAAGCTTTAACATACACGAACGGACCTTTCCACGTCACAAAAGGTTCTTTATAGTGGAAAAAGGTTATTTAGATTTTCAAGAAAAAAAGGTTCTTTTAAGAATTCTGCTCACCGAAAGGTTCTTTGGGGAACCCAACATTAAAAAAAAATACTTTTAGAACATTCATTTGTAGGAATGTACTTATAAGATAACTGAAAATAAATTCTTACCTGGTGAAGAGTCGTTGAGTCTTTCCAAATCATTCAACTCATCATTTCATCAGATATAGATGGTACATAATTTTGCATGTAGCATTTCCTCCCTCCCCCTGTGGTTTTCTGTTTTTGTTAATCACATCTCTGGATGCAAATAATCTGGAAGAGAACAGTGGGATGAGACATAGTCACTATGAACAGCCATATTCTTTACTGTTAGATGATTATTCTGTGACATCATTAAGCAAAAGAGTTTAGACAGGTTTTACTGGTTAATCTTGTAAAATTGCCTATAAATGTGTTTTTTATGCAACCGGACAATAACACATGTTGAGCAGCGTGCACATGAGACAAGACATGAGATATGAACATGTGCATCGATAAACATTATAGAGAAGCAAACAAGATGATACTGTAAAATATAAATAATGTTTACAAGACATAAGTCATGCATTTCAAATGTTGTAGTTTTATATGAACGATTAATTAAAATAGCAATGGTATGAAATTGTGGTTATTTAATATTTTTGGAGTTTCATGAATTGTTTGTGCTTTGTTATACATTTTACAGTTTGCATTTTGTGGAAAATTTATAGCTGAATAACCTGTTATTCATTGGCAGGTTTGCATTGTCACTGCTACATATGTTTGTGCAGTGCGGTAAATAGTAATTCATCTGTTTAACAAATGAGGTGTGTCACAGAGGACGTCAGCCAAACAAATGAAACCTTGTGAGTTTACAGTAATGTTGGACGGACACATTTCAAAAGGCTTTGTGCACATATAGTACATATGTAGATGATATATAGGAATATTGATGATAATTATGATCATTTTACACTATACTGGAGCAGGCACTCATGCGGAGCTTTTTGCAAAAATATATTCTTAGAGAAGTATTTTACTTTAACATATGAGTCAGAGCGATTTCAGTTTAATCATGTTTGGGCATACATAAGCAATTCTGTTTGCATATTGTCAGTAATTTTGTCTGATTCAAGACACATCCTGTGTGTTAAATGGCATAATAGATCAGTGCTGGAGAAGGTTCATTTGAACTCATTTTGTTTCAAAAACTTCCACCTTCAGGTTGTGGATCACATGTCTTTTTTTTCTGTGATATGTTTTTATAAACATAAGAATATTGTTATTAATATTTCAAGATGAACACTTACTGTACTGAAGCAACATACAGTGGTGTGAAAAAGGTTTTGCCCCCTTCCTGTTTTTTAAAAGTCCCCCTATAGTCAAAAGTTTTATCCAAACTATGTTTTTACAAGCGGACAACTGCAGTGGATACTGTAACAGTCGTTAAAGTTACTTACTTGATGATGTTATGTCCTCAAAATGCCTTGAAGACTCGAATGCAGCCGTTTGTGCATGCATACCATATCCCCACCGCCACCATGGGCCCCGCGATCTACAACGTTGTGATTCAAGACATCCTGTGTGTTAAATGGCATAATGGATCAGTGCTGGAGAAGGTTCATTTGAACTCATTTTGTTTCAAAAACTTCCACCTTCAGGTTGTGGATCACATGTCTTTTTTTTCTGTGATATGTTTTTATAAACATAAGAATATTGTTATTAATATTTCAAGATGAACACTTACTGTACTGAAGCAACATACAGTGGTGTGAAAAAGGTTTTGCCCCCTTCCTGTTTTTTAAAAGTCCCCCTATAGTCAAAAGTTTTATCCCTTAAAACTCATCTTTGATCATCAAAATTACATATTTAAATGTTTTTTTCTTGTGAAAATAATTTTCTCATGCCTTAAAATAGCTTGAATGTAAATTTACACCCTTGCCTCATTTACTATACGTGGATCTATGAATACGCAAATTCCACTCAGTCACACCAGAAAGGGCCTCCTGATCCACAGATAATAATGACTGATAAAACTATGTTTTTACAAGCGGACAACTGCAGTGGATACTGTAACATTCGTTAAAGTTACTTACTTGATGATGTTATGTCCTCAAAATGCCTTGAAGACTCGAATGCAGCCGTTTGTGCATACATACCATAACCCCACCGCCACCATGGGCTACTACACCTTTGGAGACGGCTTATGGTAGAGAAATGAACATTCAATTCAGCCACATTGGAGAGTTTGAGCATGAATGGACTGTTTAAGTCATGCCACAGCATCTCAATCGAATTTAAAAAACTGTAGGTTTACCTGATTATCCATATATTCATATTTTTAGTAAAATTGTGTTCAAATGTGTGTATCAAATGTGATCTTCAGGCTTTTAAGGAAGGCTTATTTGTTCATCTCTCAATCATCATTAAATTGCGTTGCATTATGTTTTGAACCTACAACGCTTTGATCATAAATCTAAGCATTTAAATGTCATCTTACTAAGAGATATTATTGGGAGATATAGAGTGACAACTGATATTTACAGGTGCATCTCAAAAAATTAAAAAGTTTTTTTTTTTTTTTTAACATTTCAAAAAGTGAAACTTTTATATATTCTAGATTAATAACATGCAAAGTAATACATTTCAAAAGTTTTTTTGTTTTAATTTTGACGATAAGTCAAAAATCCAGTATCTCAAAATATTAAAATATTTACATTTGAGTTTCATTAAATGACCATCCCTACAGAATAAATTCCGGGTATCTCTTGTTCTTTGAAACCACAATAATGGGGAAGACTGCTGACTTGGCAATGGTCCCGAAGACTATCATTGACACCCTCCACAAAGAGGCTTTTCTGTTTTGCAAATCCTTTTTTTTTTTATTGATCTTAGGAAATATTCTAATATTTTGAGATACTGGATTTTTGACTTTCATGAGCTGTAAACTCTAACCATCAAAATAAAATTAAAAAAAACATTTGAAATGGTTTACTTTATATGTAATGAATCTAGAATATATGAAAGTTTCACTTTTTGAAATAAGTTACAAAAAATTTTACTTTTTCACGATATTCAAATTTTTTGAGATGCACCTGTATATGCATTTTATGTAAATAGTCTGATAGATACAGTGTTATAAAGATCTCATTGATATTACAAGCTACCAGAATTTCATCTTACTTTTTGGCCATAGAAATATCAGGATCTGCACCAAATTGCATTTTTTTTTTTTTGCCTCAGATTGGGCCTCCTAATAAAACTGAGCTCCATATTCTCCTATTTCATACTATATGAGCCATACAAGCATGGTGTATCAAATATGATACTCAAAAAACAAACAACAACAACAACAAAAAATATTTTTCTGACATTATTTTATGTCAGGCTTCTCAGGGTTAAGTATCCATTAACAATTACATTCTTGTTTGTGTCGTGTTCTGATCATGCCCATCTTTTGTTCAGACTGTCAGTCTAAATCCGATTGGAATCCGATCATATTTAGCAAGTCTGAACGGCAAAAAATTTGACATGAAATCCAATTTTTACAAATCAACTGTCAAGCCACATTAATATGTGGTTTGAAATCATATTCAAATCGCATTTCTGGAAATCTGTTTCAGCCTGACAGCTCAGATCGGATTTTGCGTAGCTATTTGCCTATGAACAAGGCACTTTATTTCTAATTTAGATTTTCAATGAATATAAGGAGGTCCAAGGTCATTTTATGAAACTGTTGCCCTAGAAGTATTCACTTTAGATATATGTTATGTATTATGTCAAGTTATGTTAAGCATTTTAAATATTCTTTTATTAGAAGTCAATTAACAATCAATCATCGCACACCTGCAGGTAATAGATAGGTGCATAGGAAAAAAAAGACAAAAAGTAAAAAAAAACTAAGAAACAAAAGGAAATCCCACACACTACCAATACTTGCAAAAGTATCAAATAATACAATTATAAAACAGTAATTTCAAAATTAAAAATTTGAATTTTCACCGAAACATTGTCAATTATTGTTTTTGATACTTTTGCAAGTACTGGTAGTGTGCAGGATTTTCATTTGTTTCTTAAACATTCTTTCAGAGGAAATTATTTTATGAGCTAATAAATCCCACTGTATCCTTAAGGTTTGGAATATACCTTTAGAAAGGTTATGAGTTTACAAGGTTCTTTCAGGAAATGAATGTAATGCAGGTATTTCGATGCAGTGTCACCTTATCACCAGTAGAGGACGCCATGACATTTTTACTCTGACATTGTGAAGTCAAACTACTTCTCTGAAAAGTACTGCCGTTTTTTCATATGAGGAAATAGTTTAAACAAGACTTTGAGTATGTAAATGTAAAAAGAATGTCCAGTGCTGACAAAAAAAAATGTTCAGAGTGTTCAGAGTCATTAGAGGACACACTTAAATTGTGGTTTGACATTTGTAGGGACACCTACTGTATGACAGCCTACAACAAAACTGCTTATCTCATACTTCACACCTCAGGAATGTGTGCTGCTTTCTCTTCTATTTTTAGAGCTCAGTCGAGTTTGTGGTAATAAGGTTGTGGGACATCTGTTTTTTCAATGAACTTATACACACATGCAGGTGGCTCAACACAAGAGATCCCGGGGGACCCTATTGGATGCCAGGCTGCAGTTTGCTGACATCACCTGTCACCATCTTCCCGTCAGGCTCCAGCTGAGGATGGAGCAGTTTCCTTTGATCTGGAGCTGCTGTTATTGACATCATCTCTGGGATTTCCAGTATGATACACACAAACACACATCTCATATATTCGTTTACAGAATCTTCGTTTATGAAATACTTTAGCTAATTTAACTACTGAATGTTTGCAAATACCAGTAAGAGTTTCTGTAGTTGTGGTACTCAAAGCTGCATTTAACACATCTTTTTTGACTTTAAAGAGAGCAGTTTCCTTATATATTATATTTCTTATAATATTCCTCCTTATATATATTGAAGATCTGAGTAAATATAGGCACAAGCCTCAGGTTATTGTCATTGTTGTTTATAGTTAAAAGAGTTTAAAGCAGCCTGCTGTATTAAACGGATAGTTCACCCAAAAATGAAAATTAGCCCATTATTTACTCACCCTCAAGCCATCCTAGGCATATATGACTTCCTTCTTTCAGATGAATCCAATCAAGAGTTATATTAAAAATGGACTTTGATCTTCCAAGCTGTTTAATGGCAGTCAGCGGGTGTTGCAGTGCATCAGTCCAAAAGAAGTGAAATAAAGCGCATCCATCCATGATAAAAAAGTGCCTCACACGGCTCGGGGGTGTGAACAAAGGCCTCCTGTAGCGAATTGATGTGTTTTTATAAGAATAATATCCGTTTTGTACTTCTAATTCGTGACCGTTGTTTTGTTTTGATCTCTCCCCTGCACTTCCGCATTCATCACTTCTGAGCGGCGCATGCGCAAAGCTGATCTCCCGTATTTTTAATCTTTCTATAAAAAAAATCCCACTGGGCATATTTTATATGTTTGCTACATTCGCTTCCGGTAAAACTCCTGTAATTGGTATGGGCCAAACCTCATTATATGAATAATCACGACAACAAATTCCAAGGTTGTCCAGTTGCCAGATCTTGTATGAAACGCATCTTTCTCACACGATCGACGCATACAAATTTCAACCCATTTGTCCCCTCGACTTGGCAACCTACAGCCCAGTGAAGCTATTGATATCTGCGCAGGGAGTACCATGGGAAGGAAACAAGGATCACTGGTAGAAATGGGAGGAGAAGACTCAGGTGGTGCTCCAGTGAAAAAAACGAAATATACATGTAAATTGAGATATAGCTTACACTTCAAAAGGCTATTTAATTGATTAAATATGTGCGCTGCAAGTTGAATTAGCATTTTTCAATAAGCCCTTCTGCTCTTTGTTTAGGCCAAAAACGACCCTTATTTTTACACAGAAAACAGTTGTAAATGTGAACTGGTGGATCAACAAGAAGATAATGAATTATAAAACCCTAAAGATATAGCCTACACTAAGATATATTTATGTTACTAAATGAATATAATTGTTTGATAATAATTGTTTAAATTAATATAATATAAAAATTGTTACTTTTAACTCCGCCCCCCAGCCCAGCTATTTTGATACCCAAATGTTGACAGGTATGGTACAACAGTGAGCGCAAGCTACATTAAATTGATTATTACGTTTTATATATTGTTATTTTTCTTACAAAAACGCATCGATTCGCTACAGGAGGACTTTGTTCACCCCCCGGAGCCATGTGAGGCACTTTTTATTATAGATGGATGCGCTTTATTTCACTTCTTTTGGACTGATGCACTGCAACACCCGCTGACTGCCATTAAACAGCTTGAAAGTTCAAAGACAATTTTTAATAAAACTCTGACTGGATTCGTCTGAAAGAAGAAAGTCATATACACCTAGGATGCCTTGAGGGTGAGTAATTTATGGGCTAATTGTCATTTTTGGGTGAACTAACCCTTTAATGCTTTGGAAAGTAATCCAATTAGCTTGAAAAAATTATTAAACTGATTGTTATCCAGATCATTGAGATGGATCATTTCTTTGTTCCTTCTGATTTAAATTTGACATATTCATTTGAAAATCTTTGACTTTTCAATTGTAAAAGTGGTGTGGAGCGTGGGTCCACAGCATTTTCAACAGTACAGACCTCATAATAATGAAGGAATGCAGTATTTCCTCTCTCAATAAGTAGAAAATATGGTTAACACCCGGTCATGCATGAAAAAAAAAATACCGTCATGTACCGTGAAACCGGTATAATTTTGAAAAATACCGTGATATAAATTTTTGGTCATACCGCCCAGCACTGAAGGAAAGTATATGTAAAGTAAAAATAGACTTTACGGTAATGTCAAAATTTGTCACATATGTAGTGACGTGTCTTTCCTAGTCTAGTAAAGAGTTAAAACAGTGCTTAAAATCAGTCAGCTAAAATCTTTTCTGAATATGATTAAAGAACATAAATGTAATATTCTACATTGATAACCAGAATTAGTATTATTATATTATTCATATTAAGTTTTCATTTTAATTTTTGCACTTTTGTCATGTTAATTGGGTTTTTAATATTTATACATAGCTTTACTTTATATTTCAGTTAACTTTAGTTTTCAACTTAAATTTATTAAGTACTAAATGTATTTATTTTATTTTGTTGCCAGGACAATATATTTTTTTTTTCAAGTTTTTAATTTTTTTCCACCTAATTTTTATATTTTACATCAGCTTGATTTTCAATTACCAATTTTTTAGTTTACATTTGCTTCAAGTAATGTATGTGGTGGATGTCTTTTACAGGCATCCTACACATCTAAACAGATTGGATAGCTGGCCAATCAGAGCACACCTCGCTTTTCAGAATGATGAGCTTTGTAAAAATCGACGCGTTTCAAAAAGGCGGGGCATAGAGGAGAAACAATAATGTACAGTATGTGGAAAATAATGTGGTTTTTTAACTTTAAACCGCATAAACACATTTCATTACACCAAATACACAAAATAATGTTCTTTTTAGCAGCATCATATGACCCCTTTAATACTGTGGTTAAGAGCAAAAAGGCCAGAGATTTTCTTACAGTAGCTTCCATATAAATGAAAGATTTTACTTAATATCTGTAGACATAAGCCTTATATTATTGCCATTGTTGCTTATAATCTAAAAGTAATCCAATTAACTTTAAAAAAAAAGACTTAATCTACTTATTAAACTGATTATATTTATCTAGATCATTAATGAGACCGATCATTTCTTTGCCAGTTCCTTCGGCTTCAGATTTGACATATTGATCTGTCTTCCCTCAAGCATGATGTCATGCAATCTTACAGCCATGATGTCACTTCTGATTCGTCTTCGGTTGTGTTCATTGAGCTACTGCTGCTCGTCTGGGGACTCATTCTTCTTGCTAGGTGAATCACGCACCGCTCAACACGCATCTAAAGTTTAAACACAACAGAATGACAAGTAAACACTTTTGGGGGAAAAAAAGGACCAGCTAGACCTCAAATATGAAATTGTAAATGCTAAAATTAAAAAAAGTAACATCTTCACTTCAACAGTTTATCCTGTAAATGTAAACAACCAATCTAACAAAACCCTAATGTAAATTTGTAAGACTGATCAGGAGCTGCACAGATATTAGCAGTGAATCTCAGCAAATAGTGTCACAGTAATAGAAAAAAATTGTGAACAAGCATTAAAAAATCACATACTGTGATATCGCAACAGTCATTTTACTCCCAGATATTACAAGTGCAAAAAGTGTGTTAATGAAGGCCTGTTTCTCATACAAAATACTTCTTACTAAAAGCAGAACAGCAGCAACAACATCATGTTTGGCTAGCATTTGGATGACTGACAGAAGCCTAACCACACCCTGTTTTAGCAGTTGTGGTTTGTTACTAGGAGTCCACGTTGTTGCTCAGCCAATCAGGATGAAGAGAAGTTGACCTTCTGCTGTGGGTGTATCCCTTCAGGGCATCTGCAAAAACATATGAATGACTGGGAGATCGTCATGAGCAGCCAATCAGGACGCTGATCTGACCAATCACAGTTGCTTTCTGTTCTGCCTGACAGTTACCAAGTCACTGTTACTGCCTGGGTAATCTGGGGCCGCCTGCCATTGGTTGAAAGTGCTGAGAATTCAGCACCTGATTGGCTGAATAAACACACGCCGTTGCTAGGGAGCTGCACCAATGCAGCAAGTCAGCTGTTTGGTTTCTAGGCAGGATTTACTCGCTGCTGAGATGTTTTGGCGGGAGCTGGGAGGAAGGAGGGGGCTGTAGATTGAAGTGGAGCATGTGATGTGTTTATGTGCTTGTGTTTTTCTCTTCCTCTTGTAGGATCTTTCTGATGCAACATGCAGTTGTGAGGGAGGCGTCTCCTGGGCCTCTTGTGATTTTTTTTTATTTTAACGGGTCTTTACTATGAAACAAGAACCAATGATGTAGCTGTTGCTACGGAGGCAGCGCCAGCATTTGTTTTGTCTCGCTCTCATCTTTGGTACCTCCCCATCCACAGTTACCGTAGAAACAGAGTCACTTTGAGTCTATTTCAATCCTCTTCCTCTAGTCAGTGATTTGTCTGTACCTCATCCTCATCTCAAACCATCCCAACATTTTAGCAAACCAAAATCCTTGCCAGCAATGTGTAGGCCTGTACTGACTAGTTAGTATGCAGGCTTGAAATAATCTACTACAAAACAAAAACTATTCTTCCTTTACATGCCAGTCAACACATTCTGTTTTAGAGTTAACTAGCACAATTTTTCTCATTTAAATTGGCCATTGCAACCACGCGGCTGAGCAGCGCGGCAACAGTGCGCGCAGGAATGCTGTAGTGTTGGGTCGTTCTTGAACGATTCGTTCGTTTTTAACGAATCTTTAATGTGACTCGGGAAGAACGAGTCGTCTCGGGGAGTGATTCGTTCAGTCGCGCATGCGCAACATCCTATAGGTTCTGTACTGGAATTAGTCAAGTAGTTCACCTGGTTCGAATCTTCGGGTTTTTCCGAGTCGTTCGTTCATCACGTGACAGCCCCATAAGCCCAAACCCGAAGATTTGTCAGATAAGAGGTGGTGAGCTAATCATAGACTGAAGACTCAGGTAAACAATGAATTAATCTTTTCTGTTTCTTATAGCATTATAGTTTTGTATTGTTTGTAGTGTGATCAACGTTTGCGTAAGTAGTAGACATATTAGGGAAGTAACACGTAACATTTTAATTATATTTTGTTAAAATGAACGAAATGACTCGAAAAAAGATTCGTTCATTTTGCTGAACGAGACTCAAAGGTCCGAGTCGGTAAAATGATCCGAACTTCCCATCACTAGAATGCTGAGCCCAACGGCTGTCAGAAAGGATGATGTCATCGCAAGCGAGTGAGAACAGGAAGCTTGTGATATTCAGGTGACTCACTGCCCATTTACAACAAGTGCACTTGAATTGTGCACTTGAATTCTTGCTCAAGCAGAAAATATGCATGCACAAAAATGTGAAAAATGGAAATGTGTACTAATTGATCACAGTAGCCACATATATTCCCCTGTCCGATCAACTTTAAAAATGTTAACCATAGTAAAAAGAAAAGGTTGACAGATGTCAAGGTCAGTGTGTTTGTCCATTACAAAACAGAAAAATAAACAACAAGGTTTCCTGTGGATATTAAAGATTTGCATGGACTACAAAATTCTATTAAATTTGAAGACAAATATTCCTCATATTCAGAAAATGTTCACCCCTGGTGGGCTAGTGGCTAGGGGTGTTTAATTATAATTAATAGTGCACAAAAAAGTGAAAAATTGCATATACTGTACAAAACCCATATGTATTTCTTTCTTCCGTAAAAACAAAAGGTGAATATATTTAGATTTACTCTCTCTCTTGTTATATATATATAGCCTATATACAGTAGTCAAAATTTGAAGTGGATCAAAAAAGTTCATCAAAGTTGTCCTAAGCCATTTGGGTTTAGGACAACTTTGATGAAAGGTTTTGATCCACTTCAAATGTTGACTAGTGTATTAGATATACATAGATAAATATTAGATGTAACTTTTAAATAGTTTATAACGCTTCCAGAAGTACGCAAACTAGAGGCTGCCATCTTGCATCCAAGTTCCAGGAATATCCATATCATGTAACGTTAGTGACTTAATATAAATTGAAAGATCTACAAGTCTTTCGAAAATCTGTTGTAAAACACCCGCCATAGCCCAAAAACGAATAACGGCACAAACGTGTTGGAAAACGTTCAGTCAGAAATACATACTTTAGCTAATTAAGGCTGTCAACGGAAGCATGTTTTTCACTCATTTTGAATAGTTTAAAGAACTTTTTAAAGTTTTTCAACAAATCCAAAGTCAAAGTGGCATTAAAACGGTTCTTTTAAATAACGTAGCCACTAACTAACAGTCTGAACCTATTAAAACTGCTGAAATACACCGCTTGTATTCAGAAAGAAACTTACCGTTTCAACACATAACGTTAAACCCTAAAGTAACTGACCTTTTCCCTCGGGCACCAACAACACGCAGATTCCCGCCTCCCGCTCGAGTAATTACCATATCACGTGCCGTCAGGGGGCGTGGTTTTCTGCGCGCTCGTGTCCAATACCAACATCTCGAGCTCAGGGCGCAGAATGAAAGCGGAGCGCGTTCGTGTTAGTAAATACAAGCAGAGTGAAGACGGAATAAAAGAGCGCTGACACAAAAAGCGGAATAAAAGCAGCACTGACACACACACATTCAAGCACTGGCGGTGAGTGTCTCTTGTTTCTGTGTTTTATTTGCTGCAGTTTCATTGTGTATTCTGTGATTTCTGTGGATTACTATATAAAAATAAGAACTAAAATGATTCTGCTATTGTCCTTAAAAAAACAACGTTCCAGTGATTTGATCTGTGAAAGAAAGTGACAAAAGTTTTAAATTACAGAATAAACTTAACAACACACTGAAATATCCCCAACATCATATTCTGATTTGCCCATCTAAACTATAAAACTGAAATATCAAAAAGTGACAATCACATTAAAGTCTCATGTTGTCCTGATTTTTTATATATTTGTGTTTACTATGGTATTACCTTGGTATATCCTTTGTTTTGGTTTGTTTTTGAATTCCCTGCTGAAAACAACAATTGTTAAATAATAAGAGTGGTTTATGATGGTCTACAATGGTCTTTTAGCCTGAACAAGCTGGTCTACTGTTTGCCCCTTGGAAAAAAAAACCTAAAACCAGCCCACAGACCAGGGTAACCAAGCTGGGAGACCAGCTAAGACCAGCAAACCATCTTGGGCTGGTTTTTCAGCAGGGATTAAGAGTTTAATTCTTATTAATAATAATCTGTCCATATGATAATCTCTCTATTAATAGAATTACACTTTTTAAATGATTATTTGTCCTGATGACTACAGCATTCATGCACTGCAAACAAATTCTGCAAAAAACGTCTCAAAACTCTTCTTGCAGTTTCTCAGATTGACTAATTTCACTGCAGCTGCCATGCACTATATGAAACTATTCTCTTTGAAAGCATCTGTACTAATCTGCACTGTAACTCTCAGTTGATCAGATTATTCATGAACACTTCATAAACGGGTTTGTTTGTTATGATGGTGCAGATTCGAATCGTATTGTTTTCTGGGAAACGGCGGCAGACAGAACATTTGAGCACAGGCCTGAAACTTCCTCTCATTTCCTCTCAGGAGTATGAGACTCCTTTGAAATGTTGCCATTTGACGTTACGGTGGTTTTGTTTGTGACTAGCCTGTGACTATCTTAGTCATCTCACCGCTGCACTTTAATGCAGAAGTTGCACTTTATGAGCTGATCTACTGTCAGATCTTAGTTATTCATTGTTAAACCAAACAAAACCCATCTAGTTCAGTCATGTTTTTTTGTTCATGTGAATGTGGGTGAGATCTCTATGAGATTCAGCACTTGCATCAGGTCAAGTGTTCCTAAACTACACTGATGTGAACTGGAGAGTGGTGGACTGGAGAACAATGAAAAATCATGCTGAATGCCATACCAATCATATAATTGTGCATAATTTGGGGTTGAAAAATAAATAAACTTATCAACTTTTCAAAAAAAAAAAAAAAAAACTTAATGTCCTGAAGCAAAACTCCATTAGAAAGAATCTTTTCTTTAATTTTTTTGTCATGTAATACAGAACGATTGAACAGCATGTGAATTCTCATACAGTTGCACAGAGTGACAGTCTGTGTTATATTTCAGGGCGGTTTTGCTGACTCCGCCGATGGATGATGAGGAAGACGAACAGCTTCCTCACTGCTGTGAAACACCGCTAAGAAACAAGAGCTCAGAGAACAGAGACGGCCCACGAGGAGAGGTGGGACAAACGGCTAACAGACACGGACGCTTTGAAGACAGATCGACGCAGACTGCCAGAACTGTGCTGAATTCAGCGAGAGATGGAGATATGGCACCATTCCAGGGTTTAGAGAGATATGGCCCCTGGGGCCCCAGAAGGGCCAAGAGCACTTTTTCATGGTAGGGAAACACAATATGCATCATATAGTCAAATGTGCATTATGAATCACAACATGCACACCTGGAATTTATTTTTTATTTCTGAATATGATATGTATTATATAAAATATAATATAAAATACATAAATATAAAATATGAATGTAAAAATACAAATTGTGATACACACACACATATATATACACACATAGTGGTATTTTCGCTCTGGAGCATTTTAATTAAAAATGTTGTTAAATTTGTTTTGAAACTACAGTTAAAAATTGAAACTATATTTAGTATTGTTAATTAATTGATAATAATTAATTAATTTTTATTTAATAATTTAATAATATAATATATATGAATATATATGAATAATTATAATTTTTATTATACAATATAATAATATAAATATTGTTTTTATCCTAAAGGAAATGCTGGATTTCGTTCACACTTCCCCGCATTGTTCGAACCCGTCCCGGATAGCACACAAAACGCAGAAGAGGACGGAGGGACACCAGAAGAAAAGGAAGATGAACGTGATGTGGGAATTAGCGTGGAGATTCAGATTGGACGTAAACTGCGTGAAATGGGGGATCAGTTTCAGCAGGAACATCTTCAGCTGGTAATACTGATTTCAGATGAGACTAGTTTCTTTTCCTCAAGGCCGCTGTGAATCAAACGGGTTAAACAGCTTCACAGGTGTTTGTGCACAGAGTCTGTGGTTTTCACTGCAGTGGTTTCTGTCACGATGTGCAATGACATCATCGTCTGTTATTTCAATGCTGCATATGCAAATGCTCAGTGGGAGAGATGACATCATTTTTGGTTTACCCGTCCTGTTTACTCAACTTCCCTTAGATGTTATCAAATGTACACCAATAACTTTACAGTAACTGACGGAGTTTAAACACTAGATGATGTTTATTTAGCAACCTCATATATTAAACAAAGTCGTCTAACTTTTTTTTTTTTTTTTTTAATACTTTTATAACTATTTACAAAACTAAAGTGTGCATAACTATTGAAAACATAATTATTTGGTTTTAATTAAGTTTAATTAAATTTGGTTTCAAGGATTTTTTGGGGGTGGGGCTTACTAAAATAATGATATGGGAGATTAGAATAATTTTGAAAAGTGCCATTTTATCATGTAAATTTGGCCATTGAAGGAGTTATATTGTGTTTTTGTTGTAGTTAAAAACTAGATGAAAAAAACAAAAACAGCAGATGAAGACAAAATGGTCTTGTTAAGTAAAATGATACTGTGGGTTTTGCTAGAGGTAAACATTTTCCATGTGTTTCCATTTGCATTTATTCATTCTTTTATTCAAAGCGACTTATAACATTTACCATGAGAGAAGAAAATGAACTCACACCCTCTGAATTATGGTTAACAGGGATAAATGTAGATTTATCAAGGTTTTCAATAAATGCCAGTTGAATTTAGTGTCTACCCTGGCTGGCTATAGTTTGTGTGTGATCTCAGAAAGAGGATGTGAAGTGAGTTTATACTGCAGGCTAAATTTAGACTCTGACTCAAGGTCCACGTCAGCAGACATGTGACCACAATCTCAAAAGTCGGCTAATGTAACACCTTTAGTTACACTCTGTATGTGTTATATGCTGAGCCGCTACAACTGAGATGTTTTAATGAACATGCAGATTGTAGATTTTATAGACTGTGGAATGTGGAAATCAGCTGTCATAAGATCAAAAACTGAAACTTCATCTTCTTGCAGATCAAACTGGCTGAATAATTGAAAAAGTTGAAAGATGACAATCCAACTAAGAATAAATGGGTCAGAATCATTTGAATTAGTTAATCATAATTACAGTTTGCTAACTCTTTTAAATCTAGCATGCCTTCAGTAAGAGAGGCAGCTTATGCAATACACTGCAATAGTCAAGAACTACAACACACGCTCACAACAGAGCTGGCCTGACTGCTGATTGGCCGCTTTAACTGTCCATCAGGGAGATTTAAAGGGAAGGGGAGGAGTTTGAAGTGAAGCTTGAGGCCAGAGTGCCATCTAATGGCAGATATATGCCATTTTGACCCTATTTACTTTCTTAATAGATGCTCCTGGTCTTACTGTGCAAGTACCTCTCTTGACTAATAAAATGCTATCTTTTTAACCTATGTCAAAAATTTTACCTGATGAACAAATATTTTTGGTTTATTTTTGTGCAGTTCACTCAAAGGGGCCAGATGGGTTTGTTCCAGCTAGTGACGACACTCTATAACTTCCTTTTTCCTCAAGAAAGACCCCAAAATGCAAGAGCCCAGAGATGAGAGGCCACGGCGCACCAGTTCAGGACCCAAATGAGTTTCACACAGCACTGTAAGATGCGCAGATCTGGATTGACATGGCTCAAAAAGAAGGTTGCCGCTGGTCGGAGACTTCCCTCCTTTTTCTGAAGAAGCCATTCTAAAAAATGGCGCGTTGGAGGAAATTGTCTGCAGGTTGCATATCAATATGAAGATATTAATATTCTGCCTTATGTTTCCCCAACACGTTCACATATGTGCGGATCTCAGCGCCTTAATAAAACCCTCAGAAAATGAAAGAACTGCTTTAATAGGCAACACGCTGTTTGAATACTCGAGGTCAACAGCATTTGAGTATTTGTGCTGACTTCAATACACCTACTGAACTCCGACGCATCCCAGAACAGACTCTTCATCTTTCTCTGCTGGTGTATCACGGTTTATGCTCGATTCACTGCTGTTAACAGTGTTATTTGGACAGAGTTGAAAGACAACGGATGTGATGAGATGCAATCCAGAGGCCAGTAACATCATAGAGGACCGACACAGAACTGAAAAAACTTTGTTCAAATACAGCTTGAAAAACAACTTGAACATCAGGTTTTAATACCTGTATAACAATAATGAGCCATTTCTGAGAACACGGAGACAAATATGAATTTTGTGATTTTAAAAGGGTCATTTTTTCTTATTAAGGGAGAATGTACCATAAAATTATTTACAACAATTTTACCCTTCTGAAATATTAGTTTGCCTTCCTGAATTCTACTGTTCTGCTGTCATACATCCCAGGCTTTACATAATGACATGATTTCTCTCAGGCACTGAAGTATTACTTTGAGATATCAGTGTTTAAAGCATCTCTTCAGTAATTGGTGACATTCAAAATGTGCTCAAAGAGCAATACACCAAATCATACTTTACAGTACAACTCAAGCGATAAATGCAATCAATAATATATAATCTAATCTACAAGTTACCATATAAGAACCTATTAAAGTTCTAGCAAGAGTTGTGTTGGTAGGCTATATATATGTCAATCAATAGTTATTATACAGAGGTTTTTATTACTGTAAATGTCTTAAGAGGGAAAGTGTCCTCTGCATAGCGTAAATATGCTTTAATTAAAGGGTCAGTTCGCACAGAAATTAATATTATGTAATCTGTTACTCACCCTCATGTCATTCCGAACATTCCTGTGTTATTTTCTTTCTTCCATGCAAAAAAGTTGATGGTTTTCGTTAGGGTAACGCCATGTTTAATTTTGGCGGCAATGAAAACGAAGCAGTGAGGGATATAAAAGTAGTAACGAAACAAATACAAACATTGCAATTTGATTTAGGACATTTTATACAGTACATGCCATCTAAAAACTGTCCATCCCTCAAGACTCGTTTTCAGCTGCATCAAATTATAAATGGCGTCTGTCCAGGTTTGTAAACGATGGCAGAATTCACATTTTTTAACGTGAACTGTCCCTTTAAGAATGAGGACGATAATGAACTCAGACGTTAGATTTCTATTGGAGCGTCCAATGAGGCGGCCAGATCGCATCACGTGACTGGCGAATGCTCTGGCGATTCTGATATGAATATTTAAGAGTTTGTATATGATATGCGATAAAGCGGGGTAATTTATTTTCCACATATATATTTGTAAACTCATATTGTATACGTGAATTTAATATTAATAAGAGATTAATAATTTAATTTATCGAAAATAGATATCGTTCCATGCTTTTTTTGTGGTACAATCTACTGAGGTGCCTGTACTTTTGCGGTTTACAATTTTACATGGTTTGCTTGTGCATTATCGATAGTTTAATACACATAATGTCGTCAGTATAGTGTTAGAGACCATGAAGACGGTGTACAGACTGTCAAGAGTCCACATCTCACTCCTTTGCAATTATTACGATTTTAGACCATTTCCTCAAGACTTTCCACGAAGGTGGTGTTCCAGTGCTGTGATGTGTTCTTGTCCTGTTGTTCTTCTGACAGGTGTGCCTCAAATGCTTGTGTATTGGTAACGATGACACTTGCAGACAATCAAACAGCTGAAGGTGCCTTAGAACAGCAGGCCAACGATGAAGGTTTGGGCTTCAGTCACAGCACCCAAACATATGGACTATAGATCATAAACGAACACGTATCGCAGCCGGGTGACTAAATACCTCCAGCTAAACAACGGGGAGCTCAAACAGACTGTCAAAGAGAATCTGAAGTGATGATTTGCAGGAACAGGCTGCTGCTGCTGCTGCCTCATTCATCTGAAATGCCCTTTCAAATGCACTTGTCTCAGAAAGTCGTCAAAGAAGTAAAACTGTCGAGCTGTTTTTACTTTGTTTGGAATGTGCACGGGACGTTACTGCTGGTTGTTTTTTAATTTTGCTACTTAAAATTATTATACAGTTTGATAAATATATTAAATGCTGTTATAAAATTGTGAAATAAGATGTCTTTTTTACGAATATCATAAATGCTGACACTTTTTCTGCAATGTTCACCGCATTAAAATATTTATGGATACTCATTTGAGCTCTATTTGTGATTATTTTTCAATCTGAGAGATTATATACATATATTATTAAAATATATCATTTTAAAATAACAAAATGTATGATTACTATGAATGGGATTGCTCTTAATTATGATGACCATAAATAGTAATTATAGTTAATTATTATAAAATTATAGTTCATTGTAGTTATTTTAAAATTATATATGTAAAATATAATTAAAAATAATTAACTATGATATTTATGGTAATAATAATTATTATATAATGATAATATATAATATTAATAATTTTATAAAATATAATTTAATATATAATTCTACAATAATTATATAACAGTTATTATAATATTCAATTATATTTGCATTGGAGTACATTTTATTACATTATAATTTTTTTATTTCATTATATTCTATTATAATTGTATATATATAATTTCATGAAAATATAGAACTATATAAATATAATTCATTTTAAAATAATACTATTTACGATTACTATTAATAGTAATAATAATAATAATAAGAAGAAGAAGAAGAAAAATAAGGGTGTTACTGAAAACCATAGCACTGTATTATTCAGTGTCGGGTACAATAGGCAGATATTAATGATACTAAAAACATTTTACAAAACATTTTTTTAATATTTTAAAAATTAAATAATATAACAGTAATGTGCTTTAGATGTTAGATTTGTTTTATTTATTACAGTTTATTCAGATGGTCTTTAGAGAGCTTCAATTAGGGTAAAAAAAATGAAACAACTATATAAAAATAAAGAAACAGTTATTCAGTACTTATTGCACAGATTGAAACCAACACAGTATATTTAACTGTGTTGAGCTTCGGTTTCAATTCTTAAGTTCAAACAATACTGAAACGCTCCACATTCTTATGGGTTTCATCGTAGAATTTTTTTTCAAACTTACAATAAGACATTGTTTGAAGATATAAGAAATTTTAAATGTTAACAATAATTTAAATCATCATTTGATAAACTAGTTAAAAAATTAGAATGTATCCTACTTGAGATGATTAGTGAAGTAAACAAATGATCACACAATACCAACAAAACAAACAAACACCTGATCAGTCCCTGGCTGTTATAAACACTCAATACAGTTCAAATGAACACACACACACACACACACACACAATACAGCGTGATTCAAAAGTCCCAAAGGAAAAATAAATCAAAATTCAAGGCAGGATAAAAAAACTATAAAAGATAATTGTGCTACACGATCAGTCTCGTGATCACATTAGAATTTGGCTTCAAAAGCTTGTGCCGGTGACGCTTCCACAGGGCCCTGCAAACACAAAACACATCATCAGTAACAGACATCACAGTAAAACGGCGCCCCCTGTTGGCCACAAACCAGTTTCATGCACACATCTGCAGTTAGTATGTTAGTGGGTTAAATGAAGGTTAAATGTTAGTACACATGGAACATCAAACTACAATACACACACACACACACACACACACACACACATGTACAAAGCTCAAGGGTGAAGCGTTCAGACAGAGTAGGCAAAAAATCATGAACATTGGACTCTGAGAGAGAATCAAAAGCACATCTGAATCACTTTATAAGCGGTAATTAAAATGAGCCTCATCGATCGTGAATCAGAAGGGCTGATCGCGTGTGCCACCCATACCTGAACCACAGTGAGCAATAAAATCAGGTAGTGATTGATTGATCACATGTGTGTGGAGGGGAGGAGAGACGTCCCACTGTGATCCTGAACGTCTGACCTGCCCAATGCTGCCTGTAGACACACACACACACTGATCTGTAAACATGAATGGATTTGGACAGATAGGAAACTAGAAGAGAGAATGAGACGATCAGAGGAGGTTGAGTTAAAAACATCCCATTCATGATGAGTGGAAAATAGAATAGAATAAGTGGAAAAATGGAAAGCACCAACACAGTATATTTAAATGTGTTGAGCTTTGGTTTCTATTCTTAAATTCACGCAATACTGAAATGCTCCACGTTCTTATGGGTTTCATCGTAGGATTTTTTTCAAACTTTCAATGAAAAATTGTTTAGAGAAATAAGACATTTTAAATGTTAACATTAATAATTTAAATCATCAATTGATAAACTAGTTAAAAAATTAGAATATATCCTACTTGAGATGATTAGTGATCAAATAAACACAAATGATCACACCATACAAACAAACACCTGATCATTCCCTGGCTGTTATAAACACTGGACTCAATTCAAACACACACACACACACACACACACACACACACAATACAGCATTACTCAAAGGTCCCAAGGCAAAGAATAAATCAAAATTCAAGACCAGATGAAAACTATAAAAGATAAACATGCCACACGATCCGTCCTGCGATCACATTAGAGTTTGGCTTCAAAAGCTTGTGCCAGTGATGCTTCCACATGGATCTGCAAACACAAAACACATCACTATTAACAGATATCACAGTAAAACGGCGTCCCCTGGTGGCCACAAACCAGTTTCATGCACACATCCGCAGTTAGTATGTTAGTGGATTAAATGAAGGATAAATGTTAGTAGTACACATCGAACAACCAAACTACAATGACCTGGCACACACGTACAAAGCTCAAGGGTGAAGCGTTCAGACAGAGTAGGCAAAAAATCATGAACATTGGACTCTGAGAGAGAATCAAAAGCACATCTGAATCACTTTATAAGCGGTAATTAAAATGAGCCTCATCGATCGTGAATCAGAAGGGCTGATCGCGTGTGCCACCCATACCTGAACCACAGTGAGCAATAAAATCAGGTAGTGATTGATTGATCACATGTGTGTGGAGGGGAGGAGAGACGTCCCACTGTGATCCTGAACGTCTGACCTGCCCAATGCTGCCTGTAGACACACACACACACACACACACTGATCTGTAAACATGAATGGATTTGGACAGATAGGAAACTAGAAGAGAGAATGAGATGATCAGAGGAGGTTGAGTTAAAAACATCCCATTCACGATGAGTGGAAAATAGAATAGAATAAGTGGAAAAATGGAAAGGAAGAACCGGATAAGTGGAAAAGAGGAATGAGTTTTTTTTTTTTCAGTTTTTTGAAAGAAATTAGTACTTTTATTCACCAAGAACACTGAGAATTGATCAAAAGTGTCATTTACAATGTTACAAAAGATTTCTATTTCAAATCAACACTGTTTTTTGCCTTTCTATTTTAAATAAAATTAATTATCATGGTTTCCATTAAAATATTTAAGCAGCACAATTGTATTTAACATTGATGTGTACAATTATTGTCATTTTATTTTAATATATATGCACAGGACTAAGTCATTCTACAACATTTACGAATTTGTATCCTGTTTACGCATTACCTGACTAGTTAAATTAGAATTTGTCTTTATATGCATTTGTCCCTCAATGTTGTTATTCTGTAAAAAAAAAA